TGAGCTTTTAAAGGTGGCTTACTACAGTTTTTCTGATACTCAGTAGTGCATGTCATGATAGCCTGCCACTGATGTCAATATTAGCTATGTGTGCAAAAATGACACAAGTAACCGTAAGAAGAAACAAAAACAACTTCAGCAGTTGAAAGGCATTTTAAAATCTTAAGCTATAGTTTCAAACTCTCTTCAAACATCATTGTTAATACCTTAGGGCTAATAAAACATGACCAACTAGGTCAATAAACAACTGGTAAAAGAGCTCTAATTTAGTCTTGCTTTCTCGGATGCAAATACATGGCATCACAGGAACGTGTGTAATTAAGGTGGTCGCTTATGGGAGGTCGTCACTTACAAGAGCTTAGACCATATTGGGTCAAAAATTTTCCTCATCAGCATATGGTAGCTGCAGAGACTTATATTATTAAACCCATACATTAAACATATTATTCACATGAAAAGTCAATTTCAAGAAACTATCCAGTACTTCCCATTGAGACATTTAAGTGGTCTAAGGGAGGTTAAAAACCAAAAAAAAATTCAAACTTTTAGCTCTAAAAGTGGTTGCGGTCGCATATCAGAAGTGGTTGCTCACAAGAGGTTCCAAATATAGCGATTTGAATTGGAAACTTTTGGTATTTTAGAAAACTGGATGCTGAGGAGAGGTGGTGGCTTACGAGAGGTGTTTTCAAATGGAGGTTCGACTGTATCTCTTGTTCTGGAGAAAACAGAATGTTTCAAATCAAGTGCACGAGATGGCCAGACTGTGGAATTATTAACCCATTGACTCCCAGAGGTTTTTGTCAAAAATGCATTTTTTGGACATTTTGGACATTTTCAGGCTGGATATGGGCCAAATTAGCTCCAATCTACTCAGAAAGGCATTGGCAAAATGACAGTATGCCTCTCTTTCTATTAGCATCGCGTTTTACCATATTTTTGTTCAGGCATGTGTAGTAATCAAAATTTTGAGAATTTGATTTTTTCGACGAGAAAGTGAAAAGTTTTTTGAAAGTTTTTTTTTTTGCCTTTCCTTTTTCCCCTTTTCTTTTCTTTTTGCTGCAGTCCTTGACCCTCTACTGGGCTTGCTTCCAGTTCAAAAAATTCTGAGAAAGCATCATTGAGACGGGCAATTTTTAACGCGGAGTAGCCACGTGTAGTCGAAGGAAATTTTGCTCTGGGTTTTTCACTCAACTTTTTGAGCATTTTGATTCGTACATATTTCAGGCTCCATTGAGCAGATCACTCTGGGTATCAATGGGAAGATCTTTTCCTCCTGGAGAAGTTGAGCATAGATAATGCCAATTTTCGTCAAAGGTGATGACGTCAGAAGTGGAACAAAGGTCAAGGCTCGTCACAGCCGGTTATGGCCAGCAAGGGAGTCAATGGGTTAATCAACCTCTAAAAACTTAACTACCATGGCATACTTTTTATCTGAGAGATATCAATAATAAAATAGTGACACTGCAACAGTAACTTTTTAATTTGTTTAACTCACCGCTAGGGCATCACATATTTGTCGGATTGCTTCAGCTGCATCTCTTTCTGAGTAATATCCTCTGTCCACAATTCTGCAGCAAATATGACATGTACAATACTCAGGAAACTCAATCAAGATTAAAGTGGTATTCTGTGACAACTGTGACAACTTAAACTGCATATCAGTATAAATTATGGGCTAAATTAGTAGTCCTAGTTAGGCTGGATAACTATCATTTGATGACAAATCCTTAGTATGAATATGGAACTTTCTTTAACTTTTTTTTTTTGTCAGGCAAACCCTGAGGGGAAAGTGGCACGTCAGGCTGGGAGACCTTCTGAGTGGGGACTGGGACACTTCCTGTATGGTACCCCAAAACAAGGTGGGAAACACTTCCTGTATGGTACTGGGACACTTCCTGTGAAGGGTTGGAACCACTTCCTGTTTGCACCAAGACATTTCCTGTAAAGGACTGGGGACGCCTCTTATATGGTACCAGGAAACTTCTTGTAAGGGATTAGGGACACTTCCTGCAGGGACCCTAAGATACTTTCTGTAATGAGCCATCATCTGTAAACTTAAGGGAGAGCGAGTCATATTCCAGGCCACATGAAGGTCACATATTTTTTTAGAACCTCAAGCAAGGTGACAGCAATTTAAAGAACACATTTATAAAACAATTTTCTGTGGTAGAGGGTTAATTTTTGGCTCTTTTAACATTTTACTGTCTACTTCATGACATATTTTAACTTTTTTTTAGCACAACACTGACCTTTCAAACAGTTCACCGCCTGTAACAAGCTCTAGCACCATATAAATATGTGATGATGTCTCATAGATCTCATACAACCTTATCTGTAAACAATAAAGTTATAAGCATGATTAATTAGTTCTTTAATACATGCAGATTATTGTAATTGTCCTTAACACTCCAAAAAGCATAAGAACTGCAAGAATAAACTTTCATATTTTTGATACTATCATTATTATGAAAATATTTTATGATAGTTCAACTAGATTTGGTGTGAAAAATTTCCAATACAAAGACATTAACAATGTAAAGTTAATGCGTACAGTAGGGTAACAACACTCTTAATCTCATTTTATTGGAAAATGTATATGCTGAAAACACTTTGAACTACCATATATGCTCTTAACATAGTAAATGGTTTGAACCTAGGAATATCAGTAGTTCATCTTATGTGATCGTCCGGGTGAGGGTAATTCTGAAAGAACTGTTGTTAGTGACTGACGTTTTGACAACCTGAGCGGAAGTCATCTTCAGAGACAAGTGAATAGTGTTTGTCGGTTGACGATGTCAAAACGTCAGTCACCAACGTCAGTCGATGATGTCAAAACGTCAGTCACCAACAACAGTTCTTTTCAGAACTACCCTCACCCGGATGATCACACAAGATGATCGCAATTGCATGAACTACAGACATGCTCTTGAAAAAATATACCAGGTATATGTATTAAACATTTCATATTTGTAGAATTCATGTGTAAATGTAGTTGAGCATTATGCCTCAATCGCTTTAATACCATGTTGCATTCCCCAACTGGTGCAAAGAAAAATGATGACACCGATGAACTACTGGAGACT